TCTCACTACTTCATAGAGCAGTAGCTCAGTTTCTGTGAGCACACCACTTAGTTGATAATTCAAGTAGAGCACCACCAGGTGGACAACTCAGACATTGCACTCCCTTGCTGGATAAATGATACATTGCCAATGTTGTAGTCTATAGGTTGAAGGAAGGCACTACCTAACATAGACACACTAAGGGCCTTAAGTGAGAAGTCCAGTGTTGTAAGTGTCACAAATATTATTATTATTATTATAATTAATAATAGTAATAATAATAAATAAATAAGCCATTTGTCATGAAAAGTCAGAATTAAATAAATAAATAAGGGCCAGCCTCTGGCAAGACTTCTGGGAGGTTAGGCTAGGGGAAAGGATATACATGGCATCCCACTTCTGGGCAGAATCCTTACATGGGCTCATGGTTCTTCTTCATGTTACCTGGGGACCCCTATTCTAAAGCTCTGATTCTAAACATAGGCAGTCATTCCTATAACCCACCCCTAAGTGCTCTGGGGGAAAAAAACCCACCCATGCTTTGCTAAAAAGCTCCCTGCAGCTGTGTCTGGGGTGGGCTCTGAGGTTTTTTGCTTCCCTTGACAAAGAAGGGGAAAATCATTCCTGGGACTGCGAGATGATTTCTGACAGTTAGAAAAGAGAAAGCCGGAATTGTTGTCGCTGCAATTAGGAGATCATCAAAGCCTCATTTTGCTCCTCAGCATTTTGTTTTGAGCCCACGCGGGGGCCCTTTCCAATTCAGTGCCGGCGGCTGATGAATAACTCCCACGAACAAAGGGTCTTTTCAGGCCCAGCGCCCATCATTATTAGAGGCCAGTTGCATAACTGTCACTGAGGGCTAGTGTTCGAAGGGCTAGCTCTAAATTCAGTTATTCACAGCCTTCCCAGCTCAATATTATTGCTTAACTGTGATCATTTTCTAATTATCCTAATAATACCTATTAAATAATGCCTATTAAATCACTTGAACTGGATAAGCACAGGCAGATTCAAATACAACTTAACCTAATAAGCATCGGTCATTCATTAAGCAAAAGGGTACCTTTTTGTCAGGGGTTGAATGGAATATGAAACCACAGAAGAGCATTGTTATGTCCCAAATGTTATTATAAGTTAGTGTATTAATTCTCATGCCTGGTTTGCAACCTTGCATTTGGGTTGCTTGGGAGCTGTGGCCAGAGAGACCATCTCACCCTTTGGTTCAGCTGCGTCTCTGCCTCCGCCCAAACCAATTCCCACAGAAAGGGCCCATAAACTTAACAGAAGGAATCAAATTACTAAGGATGTAAAGGGAATGAGCTGAATCAATCTTCCAGCTGATGAGATTTGGGCAGAGCATGGAGGCAGCTGTCAGACCACAGCTGCAAAACAGATTGGGTGTTCTTCTTTCCCTTATACCTCAACCCTCCCTTCTGCTATACCTCCCTGCTATACCAGGGAGCCTGGGGAGGAGAAACTTTTCAAAGTCAGGTTTCTATCATTAAAATTCAATGCAGTATAGGCTACTGATCTTTCTTTCTCAAATGGGCAGCAATTAAGATGCTGCGTTAATGAGAGTAGATCCTTTAGGACAAACTGGGGGAAAAATGTGGAATTAATTCTAGTTTATATGCCTTCTCCATGGTCTCTGTTCTGTAAAAATGAGTTTCCCTGCCATTTTGAGTATGATAAGTTTCCAGATGCCATTACAGGGGATTTCTTGTTTGTTGGATCCTACATTTAGAGAGATGGAATGGCCCTCAGGGGTCATCTAGACCAACCAACCCCCTCATTTTATGGGTAAGTAAACTGGGGTTCAGAGAGACAAAGTGACTTGCCTAATGAGAATAATAATAATAATAGCTAGCATTTATATAGTGCTTTAAGGTTTGCAAAAATGCTTTACAAATATCTCATTATTATTATTATTATTATTATTATTATATTATAACTATCCCCATTTTATAGATAAGGAAATTGAGGTAGACAGAGGATAAGTGACATGCCCTAGGTCACACAGCTAGGAAGTATCTGAAGCAGGCTTCCTGACTCCAAGTCCAATACTCTACCCATTGGCCCACCTACCTAGCTGCTAGAGTCATAAAGGTAGAGAGTGGAGAGGTAGGATTTGAATCCAGGTCCTTGAACTCCAAATCCAGGGCTCTTTCCATTGTACCGCATAGGCACAGAAACTTGGGAGGTTAAGGGCACTGGCTTTAATTCAAATGGACAGAGAATTACAAAATCATCTGGTATCCAAAGCTCTTTATAACCTTCCCCCACAAAAAACAACAACAACAAAACCACAACTTTCCAGTCTTCTTACACCTTAAAATCCGGCCCCAGCCGCCCCAATGCCCCAGATACTCTTTGATCCAGTGACACTGATCTCCTGGCTGTTCCTTGAACAAGACCCTCCATTGCTTGGCTCCCAGCATTTTCTCTGGCTGTCCCCCAATGCTTGCAATGCTCTCCCTTCTCATCTCCATCTCTTACCTTCCCTGGCTTCCTTCAAGACCCAAGTAACATCCCATATTCTATAGGAAGCCTCTCCCAACTCATAATGCAAACACCTTCCATCTCTTCATTATTTACAACATATACTGTGCATAACTTGTATGTGTGTGCTTGTCTGATCATTGTTTCCTACTTTACATTGTAAGGTTCTTGAGGGCAGGGACTGTTTTGTCTTTCTTTGTACTCCCATCACTTGGACCCAGCACACAGAATGCACTTAATAAGGGTGACTGACTGATATTAACCATTTCTTACTAGAGCAGAACATGATCAAGAGATATAAATTCATTTTGCAAACATTCATTTCTGACGGATGAATCTGGGCCATTGGAAGAGAAATCCATTAAATGTTTATCAGCACTCATATTTTAAACCTTAAAATAATTTAAGTAATAATAACTAATAATGATATCTTGCTTTATAGTTAAGAAACATTTAATGGTCATTACTCTCATGGGATGTTCACAACCATTAGAGCAGGGACTATTCTCTCCATTTTATAGATGAGCAAACTGAGGCTCAGGGAGGTTCATGACTTGCCCAAAATCACACAACTACTAAATGGTTGAAAAATGAGATGTGAATCCAGGCCTTCTCACACCAAAGTCAGGGCTCTTTCTAATGCACCTCACAGCCTGTCCCTATTCTAGTCAATTCAATACACCCCCTAGTTTTTTGTTAAGTATTTACCACGTGTTAAACCTTTTGCTAAGGTCCTCCCTTGATGCCTCTTTGTGAGGTGGAGGCAATCCTGGGTTCTCAAAGGCTAGACTAGTGGGAAGAAGGGCCTGGCACCTCTTAACAAACTAGAAGGGCTTTAAAGAGTAGTCCTGTAATAAACTGGGGGTCTATTTCCCAAGACCTGACCAGCTAACTGACTGTAGAGAGCTTTATCACCTCATGACCAACAAATAATACTAATCATTCTTTTTTGCCACAGCATTTCATGAAACTGTCTTCTAGGGCACGGAGGAGTGGCTATTTGCATTATTGAAGGAGGGGACCACGCAGAGAGTAATAACTTGCCCAAGTGCACCCAGGCAGTAAGTGTCAGAACTCAGGTCCACTGACTCCTTGACTAGTTAATCAGTCAATGAATATTTATGAAGTGCCTACTGTGTGCTTGAATCTTCTTTTGAATAACAGAAGTATGGACATACAGGTTGATAATTTGATTCTCATTACAGCCTTGTGAGCCATGAGGGAATCAATACCCCCATTCTACAGCCTAGCTGTGGTTCAAGAAAAGTACTAGATGGAGTCAGAGGAGATGTCTTGACAATCCAGTCTAACTCCATCATTTTGCTCATGAGGAAACTGAAGTCCAATTGGAGCAGGGGCTTGCCTAAGGTTGCACAGTCAGAAAATAGAAACCTCATGCACTTTCCACTACAATTATCTCTATGCAAGCCTCCCTCCTTAGTGCTAGCTCTGATCTTTGGATCCAGGTAGAACAAATCTATCCATCCTTCTTTCCTTCCTCCCTTCTTCCCTCCCTTTCCTCTCCCCTTCTTTCCTTCTTTCCTTCCTTTCTTCCTTCCTTCTCCTTCCCTCCCTCCCTTCCTTCATTCCTCCCTCCCTTCCTCCCTCCCTCTCTTACTTTTTCCTTTTCTTCTCCCTCCCTCCCTTCTTCCTTCCTCCTACCCTTTCCCTCCTTCCCTCCCCTTCGCTCTTTCCTTCCTTTCTTCTTCCTTCTTCCATCCCTTCTTCTTTCTTCCCTTCTTTTCCCCTCCCTCCTTTCTTCCTTCCTTTTCCTTCCCTCCCTCCCTTTCATCCTTCCTCCCTTCCTTCCTTCCTTCCTCTCTCCCTCCCTTACTTCTTCCCTTTCTTCTCCCTCCCTCCCTTCCTCCCTTCCTTCCTTCCATCCTTCTTTCCTTCCTTCCTTCCTTCCTTCTTTCCTTCCCTCCTTCCTTCTTTCCTTCCCTCCTTCCTTCCTCCCTCCCTCCCTCCTTTTCTATAGCTTTGGAGCAGATATATCTGTGGTAAATACTGACATGCAGGTCCATGCACCCTCATATTCACTAGCTCAGAGACACACAGACATATGGGTTGGGGGGCAGGAGGTTGGGGAGGCTCGTCTACATGGTATTTTCAGAATTACTAGGATGCTAGTGTCCCAGCTCTTGCCCGCAGTCCCAATCCAACGTGGCTGTGACTCTCTGTGTCTCCCGGCCTGTATGTTCCTTGCCTTAATCATCCCCTAATCTCATTACTGATAGCCTTGCAGAGAGCTTCCCCATCAGCTAGCTGAGTACTGGCCCGCACTGCCCCAGTGGTAACTTGGTTAGGGGGCCAAGGCGCAGACTCATTCGGCTGGCAATCTGAAGTTAGTCTCGCTAACAATTGGATTGTGAAACTCTGAAGCAGTTTTAGCTTTGACCACAAATGTTCCTGTTGACAGATCCACAGAGAGACCTCATTGCTCCGTGTCTAGCTGCCAGTGGACGGCCGCCCCAAGGAGGTCAGGCTGCCCGAGTGTAATTTGTCAAACCAAATCGGCCTACCTGACTCTCCTCTCAGCGCTTTCTCCAGCTCGACACCCTGGATCTCCGAGGCTCTTTGGCGTTCTTCCACCTCTTCTAACTGACGCTGGATAGCCTGCAAAATGGCGTACGCAAATGAACTTGTCAACTCACACGCACGCGTGCACACATACACACACACACACACACACACTCACACTCACACATACAGAGTTATGAGGCGAGGCACAAAGGGAACTAATGGGAACTGACTTTCTTTGGGTGTGAGAGGGGACCACAACAGGGTAGACCAAGTACTCATCGACTGCCTCAGGAGGTAGTGAGTTCCCTGTCAGTGAAGGTTAGAGGGTCACAGGATCAGAGATCTTGATAGGACCTCAGAAGCCATCTAGCCCCACCCCCTCATTTTACAGATGAAGAAACTGAGGGCCAAGGAGGTTAAGTCACTTGACAAGGTCACACAGATTGTAAGCAGCAGAGGCAGAATTTGAACCCAGGTCCTCTGACTTCAGAGCTAGAGCTTTCTTAACTGTACTACAGAAGTATCAGACACCTGACCGTCTGCCAATAACCTTCCCAAATACAGCCCAACCAGATTAAAATGTAATTGGGAAATTCTTAACAAAATAAATAAAAATACAATTAAGCATAGATGATATCACATTTGAAAACTAAGTCAATACACAGCCACAGAGATCCTTACATACAGATTAGTGGTCACATTTCTATTTGAGTTAGTTGTTGTACTACAAAGTTAAGCACAACCTGGATGACCCCTAAATATTTCTCTTTTTCACAGAATCTGAGACTCTCAGAAGTCACCCTGCCACACCATGAATTCCCTCTACAAGAAGCCTGACGAAGGGTGCCAAGCCTTTGCTTGGACTGACAGGAGACTTCCTACCACCCAAGGCAGCCATTCCACTATCTAAAAGTTCTCATTATTTGGAAATTCTTCCTCAAAGGATTATGGGATTTAGAATTTGGAGAGATCTTGACAATATAGTCTCACTCCTTCATTTTGCATTTTGTGGAAACTGAGGCCCAGGCTAGGGAAATGACTTGCCCAAGGTCACACAGCTAGCGACTAGAAACCCTGTGTATTTTCCACTACAATTGTCTCTATGCAAGTCTCCCTTCTTAGTCCTAGTTCTGAGCTTTGGATCCAAGCAGAACAAGTCCTTTCCTCTTTCTCTTACTCTCTCTCTCTCTTCCTTCTTTCCTCCCTTCCTCCCTCCACCCCTTTCTTCCTTTCATCTTTCCTTCCTCCCTCCATTCCTTCCTTCCTTCCTCCCTCATTCCTCCTTCCTTCCCTCCCTCCTTTCTCTTTTCTTCCTTCCTTCCTCCCTCCCTCCTTTCCTTCCTTCTTTGCTTCCTCCCTTCCTCCCTTCTCTTCCTTCTTTGCTTCCTCCCTTCCTCCCTTCTCTTCCTTCTTTTCTCCCTCCCTTCCTTTCTTCTCTCTCTTCTTCCTCCCTCCCTCCCTTACTTCTCTTTCCTCCCTTCCTTCCTTCCTCCCTCCCTTCCTCCCTCTTTTCCTTCCTTCCTCCCTTCCTTCCTCCCTCCCTCCCTCACTTCTCTTTTCTTCCTTCCTTCCTCCCTCCCTCCTTCCCTCCCTTCCTTTCTTCTCTCTCTTCTTCCTTCCGTCCTCCTTGCATATATGTAAGAATACACACATATACATACATACATATATATCCCTTCAGATATTTAATGATCATTATCATGCCCTTCCTACCCACTCCAGCTCCTCTACCAAGTTTTCTCTTCTCAGACTGAACAACCTCTTTTCTTTCAGCAGATCCCCATATGGCCCAGCTTTAGAATCCTCCTTGGAGGACCTTAGTTCACACAGTTAGAATTTAACCCTCTCATCCTTTCACATAGCAATGATGATAATCTGCCTCCCCACTCCCACCTCATAACTATCACCTCATCAGCAATGAACTCATGCAGCACTCATAACTAAAATCACAAGATGCCAACCATCTCTTTACCTGTGCCTTGTATAGCCTTTTGAATTCCTCTTGCTTAGCCAGCAGTTTGGAAGCCTTCTCCATCTTCCTTATTCTTTTAAGTGTTCGTCTTTCCTACATAGACCAAGGAAGAAGAAAAAAGGTGAAGGGCAGCAATAAATGGATAGGAACTTGACAGAATAATGCTCCAACCTCTTTCCAGTGCTCTGTTCTTGCCCCAACTCATTCATTCTGCCCACTTCTCAATTGACAGGACCTTTCAGAAGCTTTAGGAGAAACTAAGAAAACAATATTTATGACGCCTACAATCATGTAAATAAAAAGTATACTATGACACAGTCATGCCGAGTAAACGTGTCTGTTCATGGCCTCGTAGAAGGGACGCTGAACAGAATGCTCTCTTTTCCTTGGAAAAAGTGGTGGACTTAGTGCCAAATGTTGTAAACACTCTTAGTGGCCTATGTCTAGTTGTTTTTCTTTGTTGTAAGGGAAGGTGCATTGGATGGGGGTGTTGGGTGGGTCAAGTTAGAAGTGTCTCTGATTTGAGAAACAAAAAACACCCCCCAAAACCCCCTTCATTGCAAATAAAATGTTGGTTCCAAGCATTGGAGAAAACTTTCTGGGGGACCGAATGGGTTGAATTGAGAAAAGAAAACAATGAGTTACCAATATGCTCCATAGGAGCATATCCATATCCTCTATGGAAGGTAGTATGGGGTAAAGGATAGAGAGATAGCTTTGAGGCCAAGGAGACCTGAGTTCAAATCCTTCCTCTAACACATGTTGGCTGCATCATCCTGGACAAGTTATCCTGGATCAGTTCTCCAGGTGACCCTCTAAGACTATACGTTTCAGAGAAGGTGCTAGGAGAGGGAATTCCTCACTAGGAGTTCCTCAGAAGAAAGAAATCAGAGGTTTAATCTTTAACCCCACACGGAAGCTATTTTTGCACCAGGAATTATGAAGAACACTGAAGATCACAGGTTTATGGATTGTGAGCTGGAAGGTACCTTAGGGGTCATCTAGTCCAAATCCTTGAGGAAGTCAATTAGATTCTATGTGCCTCAGTTTCCTCATCTATGCAATGATGGGGTTTGGCTCAATGGCCTTTGAAACCTTAAATATATGATCCTATGATTCTCTCATTTTACATATGAGGAAATTGTAGGCCTAGGAAGGTTAAGTGACTCACTCAAGGTCATACAAGTAGTAAGTGGCAGTAGGATTTGAACCCAAGTCTTCTGACACCATAACTGGTGTCACTGTACCACGATCTTGGTTCAGAACTCACTCTTGACTCTTACTAGCTATGGAACCCTGAGCAAACCATTTATTTATTTTTATTAATTTATTAATAAATTAATTAAATGATAATATTATTTATGTAGAGCAGTTAGGTGGTGTAGTGGATAGGGCACTGGGCCTGGAGTCAAACTCATCTTCCTAAGTTCAAATCCTGCCACAGACACTAGGCTATGTGACCCTGAGAAAGTCACTTAACCCTGTTTGCCTCAGTTTCCTCATCTGTAAAATGAGCTGGAGAAGGAAATGGCAAACCACTCTGGGATGTCGTCAAGAAAAGCTCAAATGGGATGATGAAGAGTTGGACACGACTGAAAAATGGCTGAACAACAAATTATTTATAATATATCAATATAAAATATACATAAATTTAAATGCATTTACAATATAATATAAACATATAATACAATTTGCTTCTTCAATATCAGAAAGTGGATTCATGACTTTAGGGATAATATAAAATACATAGTATGAAAATGTAATAAAAACAAATAAATCATTTCATTATGATAAGGTTCATTGAGTCTCAGTTACCTCTTATATAAAATGGAGATAATAATAACTATAGCACTTACTTCCCAGGACTGTTGTAAGGGAGCAAAAAGATAATTTTTGTAAAGCATTTTCCAAACCTTAAAGTGGACTATAAATGTCAGTTGTTATCAGTGGTGGTGGTGCTTGTGCACCCTTAGACACCAATATCTCATGGTAACCAGGTTATACTTCTCACCTTTTTAGGCTGTGGTTACCCATGAGGATCTTGGGAAGGGAGGCGATTATCTATCAGGCCAAAGTATTTTTGAGCCAGAATTCTCTCTAGCCTAGTATGACATGGGATAAGTCACTTGAATGATAGCTGGCATTTCTATAGAGTCTACTTATATACCAGGCACTGTGCAAAGAGCTTTACATTCTGTTGTTTGATACTCATAACAACCCAGGCAGGTAGGTGCTATCATGATCCCCATTTTACAGCTGAGGAAACTGAAGCAAATAGAGTGACTTGTCCAGGGTCCCAGAGGTAGTAAGTAGCTGAGGCCAGATTTGAAGTGAGGCCTTCCTGTATCCCACCTGAACTCACTTTCCTCTTCTGAGCCTCAGTTTCCTCATCCACAAGATGAGTGGGATAAAATAAGGTCTTTTAAGGCTCCTAGGTGGCCTCCAACTCTAAACCTTACAAGTCTCTATAACTGCTTTCATTGTTCCCTTCACTTTGAGTGTAGCGATAGAATTCCTGCCAAAGGAATGTGGGCATCATATACTGGGTGTCCCAAAAGTCTTAGTACTGATGCACTCTTTAATAGTTTCCAATAGCTTAAAATGTCTCTAAGACTTTTGGAATGCCCTGTATTAAAGTTTGGGGTATTGGAAGAATTCTAGCACTGGCTCTGTCCATAACTAGCTTGAGCAATCCACTTCTTGTTTTTGGGCCTCAATTCCTTTATTTGTAAAATGAAAGTTTCAAATTAAAGATAATTTCAAATGCTCCTTTAAAGAATAAAGAGTTTCTAAGGCTTCTATAGTACATATAAGGTAATTATGATTATTATTACCAGGAGATATATATATATCTCCTGGTAATAATAATCATTGTAGCTAATATTTATATGTCACTTTAATTTTTGCAAAACATTTTACACATATTATCTCAATTGGGCATGACTGCAAAGAATTCTGTGAAGGTAGCTATGGCCAGTGTTATCCCTCCCATTTTACAGAGTGAGAGAGGTTAAGTCACCTGCTCATGGTCATATAGCTAGTAAGTGTCAGAGTCAGGATGTGAACTCAGGTCTTCCTGACTCCCAATCCAATATCCTCTCCATTTCCCATGCAACCTCTACAATGCTGAATCATCTGAATTAAGAGAGGGACGCAGCCCTGGGGAAGGCAACTAACTACTCATGGTGAGAAATCTGAAAGCCACAGGCTTTCCAATGACTTATCTGATTTTCCCCTCACAGATTTGATGCTGTCTGTTTGGTTTGAGAGAATTCTGAGATGCGTTTGCCTCCTTTAATCAGCAGGGAAGAAGGAAAGGAGGAAAGGAAAAAGATCATAGATTCAAACCCATGTTGGAGAATAGCAGAAAACTTAAGTGGGATTAACACACTGTCCCAGATAATCCCTAAAGTCATGAATCCATTTACTGATGTTGAAGAAGCAAATTAATATATTTAAGGAAACATCAAGAAGGTGCTATTGCCTGAGGGATCTAAAAATCTATTTGAGAACCATGAAAGCTGCTGGAAAAATCTTCCAAATTCATAGGCTTTGGATTGCTCTCTCATACTCTGGGTAAAACCCTTGGGTGTCTCCACCTGTGTTTTCTGAGAGACAGGAAAGCCTCCAGCAGTCATTAAAGGTGATATATTTCCTTAAAAGTAGAATTGAGGCTTCCGCTTCTGAGAGCCAAGATGGCGGAGTAAGAAGTAAGTTGCTCTCACTTGGATTACAACCAAGGATCAACTACCCATTGAAATTGAGCATAATCTTTCAGGGGAGGAGATGAACATTCAATGAAATAGGGGACTTCCAAACCTTCTTGATGAAAAGATCAGAGTTCAACAGAAAATTTGATCTTCAAACACAAGACTCAAGAGGGTCATAAAAAGGTAAACAGGACAGAAAAAAACAACAACACGTTATTAATAAAGGCAAACTGTTTACATCCCTACAAGGGAAGATGACACTTGTAACTCTTGAGAACTGTATTGTTACTACACAATTTAAAAGGGGTATACATAGATAGAGGGGGAGGGTATAAATTGACTTCGATGTAATGATAAAAAGTCTAATTAAGTGGGCTAAGTGTATCTAATGAAGTGGATTAAGTGGATCTAATTAAAGGATTGTACTGGGAGAAAAGGAAAGGAGGAGGCAGACAAGGGCAAATCACATTACAGGAAAAGGCACAAAAACCTATTACAGTAGAGGGAAAGAAGGGAGGGAGAAGAGCATTGTTTGAACCTTACTCTCAACAGATTTGGTTCAAAGAGGGAATAACATAATCAGTTAGGTATAGAAATCTAACTTACCCTATAGGAAGTAGGAGGGGAAAGGGAAAAGAAAAGGGAGGGGGATAATAGAAGAGAGGATGGATTGAGGGAGGCAGTGGTCAAAAAGCAAAAACACTAATGAGGAGGGAAAGGGAGAAAGGAAAAAGAAAAGCATAAAGGAGGGCAGAGGGGGAAATAGGATGGAGAGAAAGACACATAGTAATTATAACTGTGAATGTGAATGGGATGAACTCTTTCATAAAATGGAAGCAGATAGCAGAAGGGATTAAAAACCATAATCCTACAATATGTTGTTTATAAGAAACATATTTGAAGCAGAGGGATACACACAGAGTAAAGGTAAAAGGCTGGAGCAGAATATATTATGCTTCAGCTGAAGTGAAAAAAGTGGGAGTAGCAATCCTGATCTCAGATAAAGCAAAAACAAAAATAGATATAATTAAAAAAGATAAGGAAGGAAACTACATCCTGCTAAAAGGTACCATAGACAATGAAGTAATATCATTACTAAACATATATGCACTAAGTGGTATAGCATCTAAATTCCTAGAGGAGAAGTTAAGGGAGTTACAAGAAGAAATACATAATAAAATTATACTAGTGGGGAACCTCAACCTCCCCCTCTCAGAATTAGATAAATCTCACCACAAAATAAGCAAGAAAGGAGTTAAGGAGATGAATAGAACTTTAGAAAAGTTAGATGTGGTTGACCTCTGGAGAAAATTGAATGGAGATAGAAAGGAATACAAAACTATCAGCATAATTGACCATATCAACAACAAAACTAACAGAAAC